GATTGGTGGAGTGAAGAGCAGGGGGGCGGGAAGACGCCTGTGTCACCTGCAGGTCACACCTGGGCGCTCTTGTCAATCCTCCGGGTCTCAGGACAACACATATGTGCACACGTGTGCACATGTCCACACACATATGTGCACAGTCCTCCACTTCAGCGAGGACTCAGCATATTGCGGCTTGCTTTTAATACAGGCCGTGAAGACCGCCTCCTGCCCTGCTGTGCTCCTGCCCCGCTGTGCCCCGGTCCCTGGAGAGCAGCTGCCAGGTGCACGCTGCCCCACGTGGACCCGACTCTGACCCCCCATGTGACCTGGCTGCTGGCGGGGCAGGGTGAACGCGTCCCCCGCTCTGCCCCCGGTCTTGGCTGCTGTTCTGCCCACGGCACAGACTGAGTCCTGCTGAACAAATGGGCGAGGCCTAACCCTAACTCTACAGGGTTTTATTGTTTCTATGAGAAATCGCTTCCATTTGAAATGCCTCTTATTTCAAACCACACAGAAAGCACAAATTTTAAGTTAGGGATTCTTCATACTGAACATGATGAGTTGATTATAATCCTGGGTATGAAAAGGTTATTCTACTCTTCAATTCATGTTTGCAAAAAGCCCGTGACATTATTGTGAATCAGTTCCCTAATATGGATTCACAATGCGTACTGACAAAGTTTATATTTTCTATTACCCATTTAATGTTTAAGGAGATTTGCTCTAGACCCAAACATTAAAGTATAGATATAAAAAGCAGAGAAGTGAAAGATGAAGTGCCTCCCCACAAAGAAACTTAAAACCCAACCAGAGGGAGAGCAAAGCACACAGGAGATACTGTCATGGGTCACCCAAGGGGGTCACGCCTTCAGGTGACACCCAAGGGTGCAGGGAGGGGTGTGGTGGGGAGGGCGGAGCCCCAGCACCCCGGGGAGCCCTGAGGAGGTGAGTGAGCCCCAGGGCCCCGCGTGCGCCTGTGCTGGCAGGGACAGAGCCAGAACCGCTGCTACGAGTTTGCACAACGGCCAGAAGGTCTGAGCTCCGCAGAACACTCAGAGCACTGAGGCCAGCCCTGTGGAGGTCAGGTGCAGTCTCCTCTTCCCTGGGGTTGACTTGTGCAGGGTGGCACAGCTTTCTCCTCTCCCTGCCCGCATCAGCACTGCCCACTGCCAGGCGCGCAGGCAGGGGCCCGTGCCAGGGAAGGCCCAGTCCTAGCTTCCCCGCAGGTCGACACAGGGCAGATGGAAGAGCGGCTCCCGTCCGCTGCTGCTGTCACCCTCTCAGGTTCTTGCCATGGGCAAGGAACCCTGGACCCCACAGAAATGCCAGTCTTTACTTAACTGGACAACTGGAAAAACTGTGAATTGTATAAATCTGTAGCACATGTATTTCAGAGGCAGTTGATCCTGAAATGTGGGTGGTTTCTTGTGCCGGGGCGGATGCAGCACCCTCTCTGGGCTGAGGGTGTGGCGTGAGGCCGCCGTATTCTTCATCTTCCTCGTGCACAGTGGGTCCTTTGGGGGTGACTTTGATGGAGATGTGAGCAGGGGCTCAGATGCTCAGTGAAAAGGACAGGTAAAGAATTTCTATTCTACTTTTGTACCACATCGTATAGAGGTTGCATGTCTTGGTTACTTTTCTCTCACTGTTGGGACAAAATGCCTGATACCCAAGATTAAGGAAGGAAAGGTTTGTTTAGCTCACTGTGTGTGGAGGTTTCAGTCCATAGTCGGCTGGCTCCAAGGCAGAGTGGCACATGGCAGGGGGCAACAGTTCATGGCAGTGGAAGACAACAAAAGCAGCAAAAGCAAAAAGCGGGGAGCAGGCAGCAGAGTCAGCCTCTCTCCCTCCCTCACACTGTATGCAGGCTGCCAGTTCCAAGGCTGTGTATCACACACCCATAATCCCAGCACTGGTCCATGGATCAATCCTAAACTCTGGAAGCCACCCCATGCCTGCGAGAGGCTTTGGGGGACACACAGACACTGACCCTGACAGTGCACAAAGCTACCTTGTGGGCCCTCAGCACGTAGGCTCTGGCAGTGCTTGGCTCACCGAGGAGCCCAGGTGCTTGTGTGCGAGGCCCAGCACGAAGTGTGCATGGTTACTCAAACAAGGGACTGGAGCAAAACAGAGAACCCGGCCCTGCCCGGCCCCCTCCTGAGGCCCAGCTTGAGCCTGGTTTCTGCAGGGACCAAGGTCCCTGGGGCTTGTGCTCTGTGGGCAGCATCGGAAGGGCAGGGCACGCCATCTTAACCCTTTATCCTGGCTCTTCAGAGAGCACTCCGGGCGGCCCTCCTGAGAAAAGACACAGTGTTCAAATGAACAAAGGAAATACGGGAACAGGAAGGACGGGGTGGAGGTGAAGAGGTAAGAGGTGGCACAAGGACCGGTCTTGCCCCAGCTGGCTCTGGGGGCTTCAGGGTGTCAAGCAGAGCCTCACCATGGCCTGGGCACATTTACCTCAAGTCACTGAGTGCTGAAACTAGTGAGTGAGAGGGATTGTGAAACACCCATTGTTAAGTCATTCAGCAAAGGGAAAGAGCTGCTCTCAGGATGGGGGAGGAGTGGCTTAGCACATGATCCAGGGAAGACAAGGTGGGCTGTGCTTGGGTCCCTCTGACCTGGGAAAGGACAAGGAGATGTTAGCCCAGGAGGAGGGACCCGGAGTATCTCTTACGAAGAGCCCTCCTCCTCACACTCCCGGGAGGCGGGGCAGCAGACACCAGACTCATGCTGGACGCTGTAGTTTCTCCTCAGCATCCGGAAGCCTTGGGCTGAACTCAGCTTCTTCCCTAGGCCACCCGGACCTGGCTGCCTGTCTTGCATCAGAGACTCCCTGCTAGGGGAAGGGAGAGGGAGCACACAGAACAAGGGACTCTGCTGTGTGTGTAGGAGTCCGCCCTCCCCAGTCTTCCCAGGTCCGCCTCCCTGACGTCCTCAGTGTCCTGTTGCTTCCTGTGCTGGCTTCTCCTCTGGGATGACAAGGCACAGTCTTCCTGAAGGTCTGCAAGGCTCCTCGTGCTTCCAGAGGATCTGTGGCTCAGTCCCTCTGTCCTGCAGTTCCAGGCAGAGGCCACATGGTCACTGCAGCAGGCATGGTCACTGCAGGATGGGCCCCACCCTCCCTTCTTCCCACACACGGCTTCCTGGTCCACATTTACGCATCCCTGCACCTGCTCAAAGTCACCTGGTGCTGCCCGCCCCCACCCCCACAGGGGTGCAGAGGACACCACTCTGTCCACTGGGGTCTGTGAACACAGTGCCCAGGACAGCGGGGAAGACTCGTTTGTCTGGAAAGTTCCTCCAGGGTTTGGGAGAGAACTCCTGGGCCGCAGAGGCTCCTGGGATGCAGCAGAGTCTGGTGGACCCAGAGGACCACCTGCAGGGAAACAGGGTCCCCAGGGTCCCCACAGCCAAGCCCCCAGCCCTTCTCTCCTGGCGGCCTGGGACTCCCACACCAGCCGCTGCTCCGTGACATTTGTTTTCCAGGTCCATGGTGCTCCCATAGGTGAGAGTCTTAATTTGAAGATTAAGGTACAGATTTTGAGCATTTTACAGGCAAATACAATGTGAACACTTGCTCCATAATTTGGATAGGTAGTTTTTCATTAAAAATTTTGCTACCCTATTCCACATAGTTTAAAAATAATTTATAACAAGCAGTTGAGGACTTGTAAAGTATGAATTGTTACTCTCACGGGTCTGTGTTTGCGGTGCGTCGCAGTCACACTCCTCCCGGGGAGCCGATGCACCTACGGTCTGTGACACATCTTACCCTCCCTTCCCACCCCCCATCGCTCGGTCCCCTTCTCTTCTGCAAAAGATCCACCTCTGTGTTTCCTGTTCTATGTCTCTTATTTTGCTCCTTTATCTGTTTATATTTTGGGTTCCTCATGTAACAGAAATGAGGTGATATCTAAGCTGGTGTGTCTGAGCTCTTTCACTTACCATTATGGTTTTAAGGTGCAACTATTTTCCCACTAATGACTCGTTTATCCTTCTTGAGGTTTCCAAAGATCAATGTGTCAACTACATAAAGGTCTCTAGGAGCAGGCGGGGTCTTCTACATGTGGCTCTGAAATAGCTGTTAGACTGGGGAAGGGTATCTTCCTGTTCAGCAATTCCGTTCCTTAAAAGCTAAACAAAATGAAGGCACAAAACAATATATCCCCTGAACTTTATTCAGCATTTTCCTTTCTGTGACTGGGTCCTCCCCAGAATGTAGAAGCTCCCTGCCCTCCCTCTCTGTTATCCCACTTAGTGCTGTCCTTGCTTTCGTCCTTCCTCAGTTTCACACCAAATCCAAATGCAAAGCACAGCTGGGACTCTTCAGGAAAAGAGCTGGGCAGACTCTCCTCCTTCCTAGGCATTATTCCCTGAACAAAGTAGCATGGCAGCTACTTAGATGGCAGCTCCATCATTTTACTAGGTCCTATTAGTCATCCCAGGAAGATTTAACATGCAGAGCCGGATGTATACAGTCTGTCTCTTTGACAGGTCACTCTTCTTGGAAAAGATTTAACTTATTCTATCAAATTAGTCACTTCTGAAAAAGACTTTAAGCTGATGTTAGTCAACTGGTAAGTGCACTGAAAGGTGCCAGTGAGGCTGCATAACTCACAGTGAAAGTTCACTAAAAGATTTCCTGAATATTACAGTGCAAAGATGAACTGCTTTATGTGTTGTTGAAGTTTTCTGTTTGAGTGTCAGTCATGACATTATACCCTAAGGACATTTCCACTTGAATAAAAAGAGTGAGATCATCACTTCTCTGATTTCGTTTAATATCTTCGAGGAGAAATTCAAATGTGTTGAAGTGGAAGAAAAATGGCTAAATGAAATACTGCAGTGATCCTACTAATTTACACCCAGCATTTAGGAAAATGTTGGTGTAGAAATGCTTCATTCTAGTATTTCTTCTTTTAAAACCTATTCTTATGTGGAAAACATTCATTCAAGTCTTAATTACTACACAGCTATGAAGGAGTCAGGGGTTCCCTAAGCTGTCTTTC